TGACTGTACTACCTTTACTAACTGTGTTGACCCTACACTAATTGTGTGTGTTGTGTGTGCATGTTTGTGTTATGTGTGTTTGTGTGTGTGTGCGTGTGTTTGTGTGTGTATGTGTGTGTGTGTGTGTGTTATATGTGTATCTGTGTGTGTGTGTGTGTTATATGTGTATCTGTGTGTGTGTGTGTGTTGTGTGTGTGTGTGTGTGTAGGTGGAGTACTACTTCCTGTCTCAGTACGTGTCGGTGGTGGAGACTCCGTTCCGTCATGTTCTTCACGGTCGTGGTGACCACACTCTGAGCGCGCTCACTGAGCACCTGGCCCTGCTGCGCTCTCAGCCTCAGCTCTTCAACGAGGCCCGCTTCCGGCAGCAGCTGGCTCTCTTCACCTGGACCCTGCAGGGGGCAGCAAACGCACTCAGCGGAGACGTCTGGAACATAGACAACCCTTTCTAGAAAACCTAACCCACTGCAGAAAACAACTAGCCATCAAAACCGATTGTAGAATACATAGAACCTTCACAACCCATTCTAGAACACCCAGAACCATCACAACCCATTCTAGAAAACATAGAGCCTTTTTTAGAAACTAAGACCTTTTCTAAAACCACAACATTAATATCTCATTCTAGAACCATCACAAACGGTTCTAGACAATTTATAACCATGCTAACTCATTCCAACAACCCACAGTGGCAGTGCAGAATTACTGAAATCATCTCAACCCATTCTAGAGCATCCAAAGCCTTCACAGTGCCATTGTAGGACCCTTTTAATCTTCACAACAACATTCACAACCCAATCTAGAACCTTTACAACCCATTGCAGAACATCCAGAACATTCACAACCTATTCTAGAGCTAGACGAAGTCCCTTTAAATCTTCACAGTTAATTCTAGAACATCTGCAACCTTGCCAACCCATTCTAGAACACTTAGAACCTTTATAACCTGTTTTGGAACACCTAGAACCTTCACAGAACCCTCACAACCCCTTTTAGGACATCCAAAACCTTCACAATTCGTTCTAGAGCTGCACACAGACTCCAAGAAGACAGTTTTAACATTTATAACCTGTATTAGAACACTTAGAAGCTTCATACATAGAACCTTCATCCTTTCTAGAGCATCCAAAACCTTCACAACCCATTTCAGAGTTCATTGATCTGGAACTTTACTCAGTGGACTCGTTCATGAGGTCGGAGCCTGAAACAGGGCTCGGTTGATAAGTTAATGTGTGTGTGTGTGTGTGTGTGTGTGTGTGTGTGTGTGTGTGTGTCTGGCAGAAAGAGGTCTCCCTGTTCTGACTGAGCACCGAGGTTCTCTTTGTTAATTGATTGTTAATTAACAATTATGATTAAGTTGCAATTCTTTTTTATTACTACGTGATAATAAAGCTGTTATTAATATAAGCAGTAATTATCGAGAGCAGTGACTCTCATAATTATGACAGTCATACTGTCGTCCAATCAAAAAGCAGCATCTGCTATCAATCAGCTCTGTGATGTCATAGAGACTTGGGGTCACGTGACCCCTCAGACTCTGACGTCACCGGGCACTGTTTTGCCAGCCGTAGTGGAGTTCACCAGTGACATCACTTCCTGTGTAGCTGTACAGGGTAAAGTCCAGCAGCACAGATGTGAGCCTGTCTGTCTGACGATGTGTTTGTGTTCTGATTATTGATCTGCTGTTGATCAGTGCGACACAGCAGGCTGGTGTGACTGACTCCAATAAAACCTTCAGTTCTTTCAGCAAAAATACCTGCTTTTATTTTCATTTCAGTTCCACACTGACGGTGTAATTTACATTAAAATACACTAAATAACCCCCCTTTCATTATACTCAAAGGGGAACTCCACCGATTTAGCAAAATTACTCAATCATTCAACCGCTTAGATGTGTGAAAGGCGCCTTTCTAGAGAAATGTACCGAGTCAGAATTGTTCACCACTGTAGTACTAGGAACCAGACGTCCGTATGTCTGCACTACTAATATCTCCATTTTATCTACCGTCCAAACTGACCAGTGAACTTACAGGTGTCTTAGGTCTTATATGTCACGCTGACGGTAAAATAGTGCTAATTTTTAAATACGTTTTTTAGATACTATTTTTTCCTTACAGCGCCCTGCATGCTCCTCTCCGCCCTGCACGCTTGTGTTGTTTGGGTTGGCGTCACACGGTCATGAGTAACGTTGTTCATCAGAGGAGCCGCGAGTCCTGAAAGTAGATTGTTGCTGCTGCTGCCGGTGTTGTGTCCAATTCAAGACCCGTGAAGGCTGAACCGAAATGTCACAGCACCGCTGTTCCCGCCCTCACGCTGCTCCTGTCAAGTTCTTTAAAGTTCTTTAAATATGGAGAAACCATAAAAAAAGAAGGCCACATTTCTCGGATGCACATGAAGGAGTCTTCGAAATGGGGCAGGCTAGTCGCGCCGCTGTGACGCAATCGGCCTTCAAATTCGTCCTTCAGAGGCTGCAGCCCCTGAATTGGGACGCAGTGAGAGTG